TTTCCCCTGGAAAACCTCAAGGAATGGTGTCAGAGCCCAACTGGTCCCAGTGCCAAACCTCAAGCCCAACTGGTCCCAGTTCCTCTGCCCAAGTGCTGGGACTGGTTTTCACCTGGAAAACCTCAAGGAACGGTGATGGAGCTCATCTGGTCCCAGTTCCAAACCTCAAGGAATGGTGTTGGAGCCCCCACCTGGTCCCAGTTCCTCAACCCAAGTGCTGGGACTGGTTTTCACCTGGAAAACCTCAAGGAATGGTGCTGGAGCCCAACTGGTCCCAGCTCCAAACCTCAAGGAATGGTGTCGGAGGCCCCAACAGGTCCCAGTTCCAAACCTCAAGGAATGGTGATGGAGCCCCCAACTGGTCCCAGTTCTTCCACCCCAGTGCTGGGACTGGTTTTCACCTGGAAAACCTCAAGGAATGGTGATGGAGCCCAACTGGTCCCAGTTCCAAACCTCAAGGAATGGTGATGGAGCCCAACTGGTCCCAGTTCCAAACCTCAAGGAATGGTGATGGAGCCCCCAACTGGTCCCAGTTCTTCCACCCCAGTGCTGGGACTGGTTTTCACCTGGAAAACCTCAAGGAACGGTGGTGGAGCCCAACTGGTCCCAATTCCAAACCTCAAGGCCAACTGGTCCCAGTTCCTCCGCCCAAGTGCTGGGACTGGAAGGGTTTTCCCCTGGAAAACCTCAAGGAACGGTGATGGAGCCCAACTGGTCCCAGTTCCAAACCTCAAGGAACGGTGATGGAGCCCAACTGGTCCCAGTTCCAAACCTCAAGGACCGGTGTTGGAGCCCGAGGTGTCCCCCCCTCCAGCTGCACCCCCCCAACTCACCGGAGCGCCTGGGTCTGGTTTTGGGCTCGATGGAGACGACGGTGCCGGGGATGACCTGCGCTTTGGCGGCGTAGAGAAGACCAGTACAGACCAGTTTGTTCCCTCCTTTTACCGACCACAGACCCGATTCCACCCCCGCCAGGGAGACGGCCCCTTTTTGGGGGGAGAAACCACCTTTAATTACCCCCTCTTTCGGGGAGCATTCCCAGGAAAAATGGGCAATTGAGGGGAAAAATGGAGGTTTGGGGACCACCAAGGCTCACCCACGAAGCTGTTGATGGTGACCCCTTGGCCGTAGTTGACCCTCATGGCCGGGCAGACCACCTCGTCGATGAATTTTTGGGAGAAACCAGCTTTTTGCAGGGCCTCCTCGATGCTGCGGTTGAGCATGAGGGCGAAGTCCTCCCCCCCCAGGGCGCGCAGGAGCCCCTCGTTGCTGCTGAAGGCGTAGTCGTGCGTCTGGTACCGGTAGATCCTGCCCGGAGAGATAACGAAGTTGTCGTTAATTAGCTTCCTTTAGCATTGGGGAGGTCCCACCTGGAGGGTTGGGTCTAGTTTTGGGGGGTCCTTATCACAAAAAATGACCTTGAGGGGTTGGAGAAGGAGAAGGGAGATGGGGAGGGGTTTGGAGGACAAGGAGAAAGTTCTGGAGAACTTCTGATGGAGGTCCCACCTGGAAGGTTGTGTCCGGTTTTGGGGCACAAAAAATGATCTTGAGGGGTTGGAGAAGGACAAGGGAGATGGGGAGGGGTTTTGGAGGACAAGGAGAAGGTTCTGGAGAACTTCTGAAGGAGCTTCTGAGGGGGGTGTTGAGCCTGGAGAAAAGGAGGCTGAGGGGAGACCTTCTGGCTCTCTCCAACTCCCTGAAAGGAGGGGGTAGCCAAGGGTTTTGGTCTCTTCTTCCAAGGAAGAAGTGACAGGACAAGAGGAAACGGCCTCAAGTTGCCCCAGGGGAGGTTTAGGATGGATATTGGGGACAATTCCTTCATGGAAAGGGTTGTGAGGTCTTGGAGGAGGTCACCCAGGGCAGTGGTGGAGTCACCATCC